GGGGGGGGGGGGGGGGGGGGGGGGGGGGGACGAAATCTACAAGGCCTGGGATTATTCTTCAAGGATTAGAAGCTGGTTCCCAACAGCAAATCGCCTCTCTCCACGCCTCTGGATAACCCAAGGAAACATCATTTGGATGATACAGCTTGGCACCAGTGACGTCGCAGGAGTTGTCGGAATATTTCATTGTACCAATGTTATCCGCCTTTCGGGACTTCATCTCCGGGTTTGATTTCAGAGTTTCCTTCTCTTAGAAGAGTTGCCATCCAAGGTTAACGAGTCCCATCCATCCGGGGTGCTAATGATGTATTTTGTACGACTGGGTTTTGGCTGGAATTGAACTCCAGGCCACCAACTTCAGATTTGCTCAGTTTACACCACTCGGCCACCCAGCACCCAAAAAATCTGCTAAGCATCGAATCAATTTTTAGCCAATCAAGGTCACTGATATTTCGAACTTATCAAGGTCAGTGTTATTTCGAACTTATCAAGGTCATTGATATTTCGAGCTTATCAAGGTCACTGATATGTCGAATTTATCAAGGTCACTGAAATTTCGAACTTATCAGGGTCATTAATATTTCGAACTTATTAAGGTCAGTGATATTTCGAACTTATCAAGGTCACTAATATTTCGAAGTTATCAAGGTCAGTGATATTTTGAAGTTATCAAGGTCAGTGATATTTCGAGCTTATCAGCGTCACATTTATTTCGTCATTTCTAAATGGTGATAAGAAATGTAAAAAATTCAAAAATCAATTTAGCGGAACAACACCAACAAGACAGCTGATAAATGAAGACAAAGTCTTATGATAATTTTTCCATGACTGTTGACGTGGATACAATTTAATAGATATCAATTCAACTTTATTAATTTGTCATAGGTTTCTATTATTATTGTTATCTGGTGATTGGGCCATTCTCTATATGAATACACTTATTCTCTATATGAATACACTCATGCTATATATGACTACACTTACTCTCTATAAGACTAAGCTTTGTTATTTTATAAGATCTATAACAATATTTTTTTTAGTTTGTTAATCATTATGGTGGGTGTGTGTGCGTGTATTTGAAAAAGTAGAGCTGTGTTTGCGAGCGACGACTAAACGGTACCTACATGAGATGTTCGCTAGTAATGTGCCCCGAACTGCACAACTTTTAACACATTGACCACAGTTCACCCACCTGAAGTCATCGAAGGCAATCCTGAACATGCTCACATGCTTGACCCCATACTTGTCCCACGTCTCTCCGGTCAGCACCAGCTTGTATATGACGAAAGCGGCCAGGGCCAGAGCGGCCAGTAAAAGATACGCGGACACGGTCCAGCCTCTTTCCGCTCCCACGCCTTTGACTTCCGTTTCCATGTCAACTTGGAATCCAACCAAATCCGAGAGGAAAACACAACAGAATGTCACTTCGTGTTACACGCCTACACCCTTTTAATGTTTCAAAAAGGCGTCCCTCAAATATATGTCAACAGCATGTGTATACAAAGGACTTACGATTCTTGCTGTCCGTAAACCTTAGGTCACAACTCTACTTCTAGTTCGTATTGGCTGACAACACTGAATGACGAAAGACCGAATTCGGATTGCTACACATCTTAACAAGGGGGGCGAAGTCTAAGCTTGTCATGCGGAACGTACGGTCAACTGATGTAATTCCTTTCCACCTGTCTAATGTAGGCCAGAAACCCCCCCCCCCCTTACACGGGCAAAGTCATTCAATAGAAATCTGTCCTATAAATTAAATCAATGGCACCCCTAGTCCGATGACGGCACAGCGTGCATAAAGTTAAAAACAAACGCGTGAACGTCAGACACGGGTAATGAGTCGCCGTGAAATTTCTTTATGCCATTACAAATCTTGAACGACTTCAGGGGGTTAGAGTAACTTCAACTGTAAGGTCAGGGGTCGTGCCAGAGTTCACAATTCCAAACACAACAGAAAGCAAGAACCACACCACTCTTCAGAGCTGAGGTCGACAAAGCTGAGTCTAGCGAGATTGCATTCGTACTTTGGTCTATCTTTTTAAAGTACATGTAGCCAGAAAACACTGCTAGGAAGCATGCACGGACGGCATTTCGATAATCCAATGGAAATGTTATTTTAAAAAAAAAAAAAGGAAATGAGGAAAAGGAGTCTAGGGCTGGGGAGGGGGGGCAATACATAACTTAATACATCTTTTATAAAAGATTGAACATATTTGACCTGATCAAGTAAGGAAATATCTTTGTAAATATGATTCGTTGATAAACATATTTAAAATGGTTATCATACATTATTAGACTTAGAATTATGTTAGTTATTATTAGCACGCTAGTCAGTGTGTATGACATACCACGTCAGTTGGTAGGCACATTGGCATTTAATTTAACATACAACATATCCCAATAGCTTACATATTCATACAAAGAACTTGTGCAGGCTACACGACAGGACTTTTGTATATCATATTATATAGGTTACACCTTGGCTTAGTGCAGGTTACACCTTGGCTTAGTGCAGGTTACACGCTAGGTCTAGTGCAGATTACACGGTAGGACTAGTGCAGTTATACAAAGAACTAGTGCAGGTTATACAAAGAACTAGTGCAGTTATACAAAGAACTAGTGCAGGTTATACAAAGAACGAGTGTAGTTATACAAAGAACTAGTGCAGTTATACAAAGAACTAGTGCAGTTATACAAAGAACTAGTGCAGTTATACAAAGAACTAGTGCAGGTTATACAAAGAACTAGTGCAGTTATACAAAGAACTAGTGCAGGTTATACAAAGAACTAGTGCAGATTATACAAAGAACTAGTGCAGTTATACAAAGAACTAGTGCAGGTTATACAAAGAACTAGTGCAGTTATACAAAAAACTAGTGCAGGTTATACAAAAAACTAGTGCAGGTTATACAAAAAACTAGTGCAGGTTATACAAAAAACTAGTGCAGGTTATACAAAGAATTAGTGCAGGTTATACAAAGAACTAGTGCAGGTTATACAAAGAACTAGTGCAGGTTATACAAAGAACTAGTGCAGGTTATACAAAAAACTAGTGCAGGTTGTACAAAGAAATAGTGTAGATTATACAAAAAACTAGTGCAGGTTATACAAAGAAATAGTGTAGATTATACAAAGAACTAGTGCAGGTTATACAAAAAACTAGTGCAGGTTATACAAAAAACTAGTGCAGGTTATACAAAAAACTAGTGCAGGTTATACAAAAAACTAGTGCAGGTTATACAAAGAATTAGTGCAGGTTATACAAAGAACTAGTGCAGGTTATACAAAGAATTAGTGCAGGTTATACAAAGAACTAGTGCAGGTTATACAAAGAATTAGTGCAGGTTATACAAAGAATTAGTGCAGGTTATACAAAGAACTAGTGCAGGTTATACAAAAAACTAGTGCAGGTTATACAAAGAATTAGTGCAGGTTATACAAAGAACTAGTGCAGGTTATACAAAGAACTAGTGCAGGTTATACAAAAAACTAGTGCAGGTTGTACAAAAAAATAGTGCAGGTTATACAAAGAACTAGTGCAGGCTATACAAAAAACTAGTGCAGGTTATACAAAGAAATAGTGTAGATTATACAAAGAACTAGTGCAGGTTATACAAAGAAATAGTGTAGATTATACAAAAAACTAGTGCAGGTTATACAAAGAAATAGTGTAGATTATACAAAGAACTAGTGCAGGTTATACAAAGAAATAGTGTAGATTATACAAAAAAACTAGTGCAGGTTATACAAAGAAATAGTGTAGATTATACAAAAAACTAGTGCAGGTTATACAAAGAAATAGTGTAGATTATACAAAAAACTAGTGCAGGTTATACAAAGAATCAGGTTACTCAAAGAACTTGCCACAAGTTGTACGAATCACACGTTAGGTATGGAGACGTTTTGACTAGAAAATAAAAATAACAAAGTGAAATGGAAAGTTTTAATTTTCACAAATAATTAAGCAATTTTTAAAAAGATTTAATCTTTTTCAAAATCTAGTTCAAATATGTTCATTTAACAAGCCCCCGACCCCCCCCCCACCTCTTAAAAAAATGTATAAAAAAATTAAATAAATAAATAAAATCGAATACCAATGAGGATTTGACATACGCTATTCAAAGTTCGATCGAATAACCCAACTGCAACAGTCCATTATTCGCTAGAGCTATATATTGAGTTTTGGGTTTTCCATTATTACATTTGATTGAGCTCAGCGATATCAGTGGCCAGTGTGACCTTGTAGTTCAGAGGCTATCCGGAAAGTAGCCCGATTTGAAATTTTGTGTGGCGCTGTCGTCAGCCAACCATTGAAGAACTGGGTCAAGATGTATAACAAATAAAGCCAAATATAAACAGGCTAGCGCTGTGCTACACAGATGATGATCAATACGCTAAGCCACTACAGACTTACTGGAAATTATTCATCGTACATTCAAACATTCTCTTGCATTCACGTGAGTACAATAATAATACAATTTACGTATCAAAGTATAATATTAATGGTATTGTGTTGCACAAATTCTATATTCCAGCCAGTTAAAAATCTTAGTATGAAAGACTAATAGCAATTATCGGTATAAAACGAAATCGTCCTAATTATGTTACAATTATGCAAATAATTAGTTTCTTTTATAAATTAAAAATATGATTTCATAACTTGGCCAGTATGGGGATCGAACCCACGACATTCGCGTTATTAGCACGACGCTCTAACCAACTGAGCTAACCGGCCAGCCGTCTATTCTATAACCAACTACTACTTTATTCAAATTAATGTTTTCGTAACTCTGGGAAATGAGGAGTTATACTGATGATCACAAACCTTTAAAAAATATATTCTAGCTCTAATATGAATTAAATAGATTACGAATGTTTGACTCTGTCTGCAATGCGCGTATGCAGTATGCCTTGTTGTAAGCAAAGGATGGTACCGTCGTCAATCGTGGCAGCGCCGTCTCCTACTCCTGGTGCAATTTCTTTCAGGCACTATCCGCCCCTCCCTCCAAGCAAGCCCCCCCCCCCACACACACACAACCCCACCGTCAGAAAAAAATGGCAACAAAAATAAAAGGAAAACATATTTTAATAAAAAATTAATTAATTTTCATTTTTTTCTAACATTTTGAAAATGAAGAGCAATAAGAGACAGTAACCGAACACAAATACTGGTAACTATGACTAAATGAAATATCGCTAAGCCGCCTAATTCCGATCTATTTAAGTGGTTCTCAACCTTCCTAATAATGCCGCAAGCCTTTAATACAGTTTCTCATCTTGTGGCGACCCCCCCCCCCTCTCCCCCAGCCACGGCATTATTTTAGTTGCTGTTTCATCACTGTAGAGTATACGGTGGTTCTCAACCTTCCTAATAATGCCGCAAGCCTTTAATACAGTTTCTCACCTTGGGGCGACCCCCCCCCCCTCTCCCCCAGCCACGGCATTATTTTAGTTGCTGTTTCATAACTGTAGAGTATACGTATTTTCAGATGGTCTTAGGCGACCCCTGGGAAAGGGTCGTGAGACCCCAAAATTGGTCGCGAACCACAGATTGTGAACCGCTGATCTATTTGATGGTCCTTGCCGTCACTGCTATATTTCAGACTAAATTTGTCAGAGGCTGACTTGATTTGAATAGGACTTTCTTACTGTTCAGAAAACTGCCCGCTGCTGATCATAAGCGAAAAGTTACTTGTTATATAAATGTATTATAATATATATCCTGCTTCCTGTTTGAAACCGCGTCCTCACAACGCCACACATTTTTATATTAAATAGTACTGAGTGAAAAAGGCTGTCATGCGTGACGTGTAAACTTAGGTCAAATAATTTTTTTAATATATTAATAAAAAAATGAGCCACATCTATGGTGTAGGAATGTCTGTAGGGCTATTATTTAAAGGCCGGCATGTATTGCGTAGGATTGTCGGTAGGCGAACTCGGGTAAAAGCATGTTTTTCGCTGGTGATGACTAATATATTAATATAAAAAAATGAGCCACAATTGTGGTGTAGGACTGTCTGCAGGACTATTTTTTAAAGGCTGGCATACCTTATTTTCCAGTTAATGCATAACGGCTGTTTATTTTAGGGTTGAAAGACTTTGCCATTGTTTGCTTGGAATTAGTTTTTGTAGTGTTGCGTTTTTTTTGTTTTTCAATGTGGTAAATTATAGATTTGTTGACTTTGTACCGCGCTTCGAGCTTTTGAGGATGAAGCGTGTTTTTGAAATGAACTTTATTATTATATATAGGGTAGGATTGTCGGTAGGCAAATTTCTCAAAATACCCGGACCCGCTTAAAAAAAAAAAAGCCCTAATTATTAATATTTACAATCTGGGAGTACTATTGAATCAATATCACTTAAATAAAATACGTAATATCTAGTGCATATTTTGCCATTCAAATCGGGTGGGCATGTATATTGCTTTTGATTTGGTAGCGCAGTCCACTACAATTGGTAGGTCCTACAATGCACCAGTTTGAGCAATGCTGCCCTAGTAAACACCTTGTCTTGTTTTACAGAGTTCGAGCGGCACGTGTAAGATCACGGCAAACACGGGTCAACCATGAATGACCTCATCACGGACCTGGTCATCAGCCTCACGACCCACTTGACAACGTACCTGTTGATCTTCATCACAACGGCGATCATCTATTTCATCTTCACACAGCTGACCAACCGGGACACCTGGGAGAACTACGGGGTCAAACAGGTGTCCATGGGGAGACTTGCTTTGGTTGATTTCAAGTGAGACATTGTTTTCGTGACCGGTTACCGCCCACAGTCAGGGCAATGGGACTGGGGACAAAGGGGCATCTGCCACTTACACCAAATTCCAAGGGGGGGGGGGGGCGCTAAAATTGTCATACATATACAGGCTTACAACATTAAATATCAATTAGTATTGGAGGTTGGGAGGGGAGAACGTTCAAGGTTCGCCCCCAGGGCATCTGCCACTTACACCAAATTCCAAGGGGGGGGGGGGGCGCTAAAATTGTCATACATATACAGGCTTACAACATTAAATATCAATTAGTATTGGAGGTTGGGAGGGGAGTACGTTCAAGGTTCGCCCCCCGGGCACGGCTTTTCGATGGCACGGCTGTGCTCACAGCAAAACAATACCCCCAAAAGTCATTTTTAATTTCACGACCAGTCTATAACTATCACACCCAACTCTCCTAATTCACTCACTTATAGCACTTATGGTCGAGCTACGAAAAAATCAAACATGAAACGACAACATCCTCCGACACAACATTGATAATGATAAATGCAATATCTTAAAATATACTAACTCATAATTAGATTATCTCATGTTTCTCATCATAATAATACATAGTGAAAATAACGCTTTTTGTATATCTAACCTGAAGTAATGTCGATCTCTCTCCAAAACACAATCAGGTTCTCCTTCATATATCACACCAAGTACTCACTCGCCCCCACCCTCCCCCCCCACAATATAAAAGCAAAACAACAAGCTTACACATATATGTTAACCCCCACCCCCACCAACACACCTCTCATAAGAGTCAACGTCCCCCACATAAAATTGACATCGTTCACAATCTATTATTGCCCAACATCAGCTAGGGTAGACTTAAAACATGTGAAATAGTAAAGCCCTTTGTCAGGAATGTTGATTTTTTTTTTTTTTTTTTTTTTTTTTTTTTTTTTTTTTTTTTTTTTTTTTTTTGTATTGACTTGTTAATCGTCCATCGCCCCCACCATTCATTGCACCACCGTTTGAGTTCTAAAGTATACGCCTCTACCATTTTTTTGTTTCCCGACTATACAGACGGGCATCAGCAGCACTCATGGAAGAACATGGCGACACGGTTGGAATAACTCGAGGTGAGATGACCCTCATCACACGTGACCTTGAACTCTTGAGGCACGTCATGGTCAAAGATTTCAACAATTTTGTGGACAGAATGGTAGTAATGACCACCAACACTCCGATTGAAGATAGTTTGTTTTTCTCCAATGGCCAAGACTGGAGGCGAATGAGGCACTTGAGTTCACCTTCGTTCAGGTGAGTTTACCTTTAATGTCAGCATCTGTCGGGCCACTTGACATTTGAATTTACAGTCATTCAGGGGGAATTTCTTATTTATTATCATAAACATTGTCAATTAAGCACCTTAGATCATTAGTCTACTTTATAATTATCAGTGTTGTCTATTATATCTTTCAAAATGAACAGCAGGAGCAAATATGTGCCGTATGATAATAATTTAACATAAACAAAATGTTCAATTATTTTTGAAAGTTGAATTCATGTAAACTTACACATTTTTGCTAAAAAAATTAATATCAAATTCAACTTTTAAACAATTTTCACAGCACTGGTAAACTCAAGTATGTTGCAAGAAACATTGAAAGTTCTGCCCAAAAGCTGGCAAACATACTGGAAGATTGTGCCGGGAAGGACGTGCTGGTCCCAATCAAACACATCACCGGCCAGTACACCAGTGAAATCATTGCGAGCTCAGCTTTCGGAGTGCAGACAGATTGCTTGGGCAAGGAGGACGATGAGTTCACCCATCACGCCAAGTCTATTATAAAGATTAGAAGCAAAGCAATGAACATGTTAATCTTGGTGATGTTCAGATTCAAGTGGCTGCATCGTTTCCTTGTCAAAGTAAGGGGACTTCATCACGCTAAATCGATCCTGCTACAAGATATTTTAGACCATTTTTTAAATTATTATAACCGTTCAACAAAATAGCTTTAAGATTTGAGTTTGGATGGTTCTAAAATAATCGCCAACTATTTAGTTCGTGGGAAACCGAGTACGTGGGGAATAAGCTTACTTCAAATTATTTTTATTTTCCCTTGCATTATTTAATTGTTTTTCTAATACCAAAAAAAAAAACCTATTTTTTTCATCCTTTCAAACGTCTGCTGTGTTAAGAATACCGAGTTGTGTGCACTTTTTTTTTTGTTAAGTGTGAAAAGTTAATGATGTCTATTATTGGCAGTCATGCTTTAGCAATGGATCGAAACTAATGCAAAGAGGAATTCAGATATCACATATTGGCTTATCGTAGAATTGTAATGTTGACCTCATTAGTGAGCATATTAACATAATCATAAATGTATATGTACTCATTCTTCTAGACCTAAGTTCAAAGTGATATGCTCTCTGTTTTGTAAATAGTTTTACAATGGTATTCTATATCTTGATTGAAATAAACATGGCCATATTCAGTTTGATAAATTATTTGGATCCAGAAACTCAAGATCAGCTTCCTAGATCAGATGAGTGGTGACGCCTACAACTATTTCAATGCCATAATCCACACAGCTGTGGCTCAGAGGTTAGAGATGGAGCAACAAGGACTGGAGAGGCCTAAAGATTTTCTCCAGAGTATGATCGTAGCCAAGACGAAAGGAGACGAAGAGGCAGCTCATTATACATGTGAGCATTTTATGATAACTCATACAGTGGTGCAGTTAGAGGGGAGGTGGAGGGTGTCCATTTGTTCTTTATATATATATATATCTATATATATCGGTTCTACCGACGCATCTGGAAACGCCTTACACACTGTTTTCATTTCTAGTTTTCTCCAGAATTTTCTAAAAGAATCTGATAAATACAGACCATTCATTAGATTTAGGTGGTAGGGTCAAGATCAAAGGGAATAAGCCATGCCCAATACTATCGCAGGCGAATTAGGGTCAGCTAGATTTCACATCATGGGGGAAATGTGACGCAAACACGTCGTCTATAGAACAAAATCATCAATGTATTTACAGCTGATTCCCAAGAGGCGTCCTGGGAACAACTGCCCAAGACGATGACAGACAGAGAACTCATTGGTCAGTCCATGCTCGTCATTTTTGCCGGCTTTGAGACCACGGCAACAACATTACAGATGTGTTTGTTTCTGCTGGCCCAGCATGCAGATATTCAGGTATTCTTTAAATTTAAAAAAAAAATGAATTTAGTGTGAACTATAATACAATCCTCATGCTATAATTTAGATAAAGACTATAATAATGAAATTAAGACAAATAATTTAAGAGTTCGGTTTTTAAATTGCAAAGGCTAATTGAACAATATTTGTAGAAATATAAATGGTCAGTTTTTACACAATAAAATTGAAAATAACAACAACAACATTTCTAGTATTTACGTTTTAATATATCCATGAAAAGTTTCCATACTTTATTTTTCCTCTCTCTTCATGTTAAATTCATAGAAGAACAAATCTAAATTAATCATTCTTGTTTGTCTCGTTTTCATTGAGCACAGGGTTGCGCTCTCTTTCGCTGCTCTTCCCGTCGTGCGCTTCATCATGTACGCACCAAATGCACACAAAATAATATCTAGATTAGCGGTTCTCAACCTATGGATCTCGACTCCTTTGGGGGTCGAATGGCCATTTCCTAGGTGTCACTTAAGGCCATTGGAAAACACATTTACTCTTCAATTATGAAGTAGCAACGAACATAATTTTGTAGTTGGGGGTCGCCACAACGCGAGGAACTGTATTAAAGGGTCGCATCATTAGGAAATTTGAGAAGCACTGATCTAGATGATCAAGTTTGATGCAATGAGTGATTTTCCTTTAAATGACCAAGCAGCAATATTTGAATTGGAGCTTCAAAAGCATTTTGCGCGCACAACATCGTGTTTTCCTTGCCCCACCTAGCAATAAATAATTTTTAAATTATTAGTAATTTCTAAACACTTTTTGTACCAACAGGAAAAAGTTTACAAAGAGATCCAAAAAGTAGTTTCCTCAGAATCTCCGACATACGAGGAACTTGGTCAGCTCAAGTACACTGAGCAGGTCATCAACGAGACTTTAAGACACTACCCCCCTGCTGCCATCATAACCAGGAGGGCGGAAGCAACATATCATTATGGGTCTATCACCATACCCAAAGGTGCGGGGATCTTGATCCCTATTGAAACCATCATGATGGATCCCAGAAACTACCCCGACCCCACAAAGTTTGACCCGGACAGATTCTCCGATGAAAACAAGGTCAAAAGAGATCCATTGACCTTCTTGCCTTTTGGCTACGGTCCACGTCACTGTATCGGTATGAGGCTGGCTTACCTTGAGCTCAAGGTTGGACTCGTCCATGTGTTGAGGAAGGTCAAGTTTGAACTCAATGACCGCACGGAGCCACGCAAGGGGGAGAAACTTGTCACGAGATTTCAAGGAATTATTGTCATCGACAAACCCATTCAACTTCAGGCCAAATTAAGAAATGAGTAATTGTGGGCTACACGCTGGACACGATAGGCGATGTATCTCAATGTTCCAAACTACAAACTAATTCTACATTGACAATACTTACTTTAAATTAAATTAACCATGGCATTTTGACATTTTATAATTGCAAACTTTTTCCACAATTGCTGTTAATTTTTTCCCCATAATACACGAAACATTTAATGTTATTAATCCTAGTTATAAAGTAAGAGGGACTATAACTAAACCATGCTTACTTCACTCCACTCGCAATCATTTCTATAAAATATGCAATTACCTTGTTTTCTTTTCATTGTTATTTAAATCATTGGTGGGCACATTTTTTTAGCTGCGATCCAGATTCAAAAGATAACAGATGCGTGGGAACCATTAATGGTGAAACGTTGGGATGGGCTGGGGCTTTTTAACCGAATCTTGTGGATTTTATTATTTCACCAGACAATCGAAACAACCCCATGTATGAGTGACAGATGCCATAGAAATTTTAAATTACGTGTCAATTTTTTGTCTCCATTTTAATGATTATTTGATTACACTTTTTTTTTTAATTAAAAAAAGGGAGTATGAGCCATTCAAAATGGAGGCACAAGCCAAAATAGACCAGAGAGCCACAATATTCACACCCCTGATTTAAATGTTAATTTTTCAGTTTTTTTTTGTATAAAAAATTGTTTTATTTTTAAGCAAGGAAAATGCTAAATAACTGGTAATAATAATTTTTCTCATTCACTCTAAATAGTTATTATTTTCTTTCAATTGAAAGATTTCTGAAGAATTGAAGGACCTAGTTTACCACACAGACGCTCATCAGGATCTATTTCTCCTTCACCGTATATATAGATCACTTTATCACCCACTTCCGGACTATGGAATGGATAAACTATTAACAAAGTATTATAAGAATTTGTACACACAATAACTTTATATCTTACTGTTTAATGATTTGTAATGGAAATAACATTATAAGAATGTCTTTTGGTATTTCTATAACATTATGATAATGTGTGATTGAAATAACATTCGGTAGCTCAGCCGCGAGATGAAGCTATGTAGGTGTATCACGATGAATCTAAATAGGTGTTTCGCAATTTAGCTAGGTGTGTCAAGATGAAGCTAGGTGTGCCACAATGAAGCTAGGTGTGCCACAATGAAGCTAGGTGTGCCACTATTAATCTAAGTGTGATACGGAAAATGCCTACAAAAGAAGGAAAAGCACAAAGAATACAGGCTCGAAATGATAAAATTACCGCGCTGATAAAAAAGACCAAAAGGCCCCGGTTAGTCTATTATCAACAATGTCAAACACTTGGGCTACAGAAATGTCTCCAATATCGACAGTAAAAATGGAGCTGGGGGTTGTTAACTGCCTTGGTTCTAGTGGAAAAAAGTTGCACAGCTCTGCAGTAGACCGATAGTTATAAGCAGGGCCGTCTTAACAATCATTGGAGGCCCTGGACAAAGCAATCCAATGGCACCGAAGTTTTCAAGAGGAAGTGAAAGATGGGCTTGGGGAGGGGCTCATTGCTCGAGATCCGGAAAATTTGTGGTGCCTTCCCACGCATGCCTGAATTCAGTTCGGCGTCCATTTTACGCCTTTTGGAGAACAACAGAGTCCTGGTCGTGTTACCGTTCAAAAAAAGTTTTCATGGACACCATTAGACGCGTTGAATGGAAAGTTTATGAACAATCATTATTCGTTTAAAATGTAAATGTTTCCATGTTTTCTCACATGGAAAGAAAGAAAAAAAAATTTTTTTTAAAGAACATGTCATTATTATTTTTATAACTTGTTAACCTGGTCATTGTATGTGAATGTCATTATGTATATTACACATATATTTATGAATAGCCCATGCAATCTCTGTGCACTATTTTTTTTTAGCGCAAAAGTAAAATTCTCCCTTGAATGCACCAAATGGCGTGTACATTTGTGTTCGATATTTATGTAAGATAAACCTCGTATTTCTACAACGAAATTGGATTTTTGAAAACAATGATAGTAGTGAATTTTTTAAATTTATTTTTTATATTTTTTTTTTACGGAAATCGATACAATTGAATTTTCATGAAATAAATGTGCTTGTAGTTATGTTATAGGTAAGTGTATGCGCTCTTTAATATTTAAGTACTATTATTATAAATTTAGAATCATATTTACTATAATAAAACAAGAACTATTTTAAGTATGTATCTGATTTTAAGAGTTAACATGTTGTACAAACATAGATTTATATTCTTTAATATTTCCTATGGCAGGGGTGGGCAAACTACGGCCCGCGGGCTGAATGTGGCCTGGCAATTGATATTATGCGGCCCTCGAAAGCATTGAGAAATAAACAAAATTCCTTTTTTTATGATATTTTGTTGAGTTTTACAGAATTTCATGTACCGTTGTGATCGTTTCAACATTTTTGATCAACTTTCTTTCTAAATTTCTTTTTAAAAAAAAAAAAAAAAAATCCTTGAGTTTTGTCATGTATTGCTAAAATGCGAGTTTACCGATTATAATATAGAGATTTTTTATTGTATTTTTTTGAGTTTTACAGAATTTCATTTTCCGTTGTGATCGTTTTAACATTTTTTATCAACTTTTTTTCTAAATTTCTTTTTAAAAAAAAAAAAAAAAAAATCCTTGAGTTTTGTCATGTATTGCTAAAATGCGAGTTTACCGATTATAATATAGAGAAATTTTTATTGACATGTAAAAAATGGACGTAATATAGATGCGCCCCCCCCCCACCCCCAATAGCTTTACATTTTTCAATGTGGCCCTCCGCACAAATAGTTTGCGCATCCCCTGTCCTAATGTGTTTTGTTATTATTTTAAAGGTAAATTTGATTTGTATAAGCGAAGTCTTATAGTATGCATTTTATCATTTTTTCGTTTTTAAATTTCTAGATTTCTAGGGCAAACACATTTTGGAGAAGAGGGAGGCACATATGAATATTCATAGCTCCTAACTTATGTTACAGATTATAACTTTGTTATGGATGTTAACTTAAATACAAATAACCATATACTTTAAATATACGGACATCCGTTATGAATTTAAAAAATAATAATAAAAGAATAATGCACATTGCGTGGTAAAAAGAATGTGGTAAATTAAGATTTTTTAATTCATAACTAATTGGGGTTACCATTCCGAGGGTCGATGTTATTATTTTTTTTAATGTTTTTGTTTGGAGGAGGGAGCTGTGATGTTTAGATGTTGCCCCAGGCGTTTGGAGGAGGGAGCTGTGTTGTTTAGGTTTTGCCCCAGGCGTAACCATGGACTCAATAATAAATTGGGATGTTACAAATAACAAGGGTTGAGTGTGTGGAGCGAAAAAGAATACTACATGATTGCAATATTTTGAGAAAAATTTGTTTTACAATCTTACAACGTATCGAAGATATCTGACCTTATCAAGTGGGAAATAGCTGACCTGATGAAGTGGGAAATATCTGGCAGGTCAAGCCGTAAATATCCGACCTGGTAAAGTGGGAAATATCTGACCTGATGAAGTGGGAAATATCTGACCTGATCAAGTGGGAAATATCTCTTTAAACACAATAAATGTTAAAAAACGTACTTTAAAATGTATTGATTAATGATTAGAATGAGGCCAGGTATTATTAGCACTAGTCAATGTGTATAAAATATCACGTCAGTGGATACGCACACACGCGTTTAGCATAACAAACTTCCCAATAGCCGACATATTCATGCAAAGAACTAGTGCAGCTTATACACAGAACTAATGCAGGCTATACAAAGACATAATGCAGGCTATACAAAGAACTATTGCAGGTTATACAAAGTACTACTGCAGGCTATACAAAGAATTGTTCAGTTTTAATAAAGAACTAGTGCATGTTTAAAAAGAACTGTTCAGGTTATAAATATATATATTTTTTAAACGATTCAGTTTATACAAAGTACTTGTGCAGGTTATACATTAGGTACGTCTAGAAAGTTTTTACTTGGGGGGGGAACTAGTAGAAATGGAAAAATTGTATACATATTTATATAAATAAAAATTATATATATGCATATAAATTAAAAATGTCTACTTAAAATAGATACAATAAATAAAAAATTTATCATATATTTTGACCTACACAATTTTAAGTTCGAACGAATAAACCAAATATCTTTCGTCATTTACAAGAGCTATTTAATTGTTTGAGCTTTTCATTACTTAATACAAAAACAAAACATAATATAATTAAAAAAAAATTAAAAATGAATAAATGAAGGACATCACTGACCAGTGGTACCTTGTAGTTCAGAAACCATCCAATCAGTGGCCCCCTTTTGAAAACTTGGTGTGGATCTGTCGTCAGCCAACGTTTGCAAAACTAGGTCAAGATGTGTAACAATGAACCCAAAATAAAACACGCATTGCTGCACGGACGATAACAAATAAGTTAAGGCACAACAGAATTACTGGAGTTATGCCGTGCTTACAGATTCTCTTGCATGGACGTGAGTACAATATGTCAATTTACATATCGAGATTATAGTGGTATGTTGTGCAAAGTGGGGATTCTAGTCAGTTATGAATCTTCGTATGAAAAAATTTTCATAGCTTCATAGATCCACACCAAGTGAGTCCTAATCAATGCAAAATTATACAAGTTATTATTTGATTTTCACAAAAAATAATTTAAAAAAAAATAAAAGGTAATTCTATCTGGCCAGTATGGGGATCGAACCCACGACATTCGCGTTATTAGCACGACGCTCTAACCAACTGAGCTAACCGGCCGGTAATGCAATGCCGTAAGCGACTTTTATATAATTTGTTTTCATCACCCTGACGCGGCCTTAAAGATAAGTGACAAGTTATACAAATAATCACGAACCCTTACGTCTATCATGAATTAAACCTATTACATTGTGACACTTGACTCTCTATCTGAAATACTCGTGTGCTCTTTATGAGGGCCACCGGATGGCTTTGCGACAAGGTACCTGGTCACCCATCTCACGTCCCACTTCACAACTTACCTGTTGATCGTCATAACAACGGCGATCATCTATTTCGTCTTCACACAGCTGACCAACCGGGACACCTGGGAGAACTACGGGGTCGAACGGGTGTCCATGGGAAGACTGGGGTAATAAGGGGAGAGACTGCAATCAGGTTAGTACAAAATAAAATGAGTAAAACAGAGTTGGGTTAAACCTGAAAAAATAAACGCAACAAAACAGCGAACGTGTCGACAGAAAGTCTTCGTCAGCGGACAAAACAACAGAAAAAAAGGTATAAAAATAAGAAATAGCACTTAGCTGGTAAGTAGTATCTGTGGGCAGCAATAGAAGTGTGGCAGAAGTAAAGTGAGTGAGAGTTAAAATATGCAACGGCGAAAAAAAGGGGAGAAAAAAAGTTCACTGTGATAGGTCAGAACGTGGAGGGTCTGGAGCTGGGGTCAAGCTGTGAACAGAGACATAACATTAATCCCATATGGCGTCAAAGTGCTGTAAGTCAGGATAAGCCTGTGTTCCGAATTGACCCGGCTGGCCGTGTTCGTGCTAGCCACAATCGCACTTATGGAAAAGTCCACGCAAGGGGGAGAAACTCGTCACGAGAATTCAAGGAATTATTGTCATCGACAAACCCATTCAACTTCAGGCAAAATTTAAAAAAAAATGAATAATTTTAGGTACAAGGTGGACATGATAGAAGATATATTTCAATGTTACAAACTACAAACTAATTCTACATTGACAATATATACAATTTTTAAAAAAAAATCATTATTGCTTAGTACATTTAACAATCACTATTAATTATACTAGTTATAAGTAAGAATTTCTAACTAAACTATGCTTATTTCTTTACAGTCTCAATTATTTCTATAAGATATGCAATTACTGTGTTTCATTTTCATGGATCTTTTAACTGTGAATTTTTCAATTAATTAGAGTTCATTGTCATTAGCAAGGGACCATTTTGTTAAGTCAGAATACTATTTTTTTTTAAAGATATAAATAATCAAAAATTTACTTTGCATTGAAACTCTTGTTATAGATAGGGTATCGTTTACAACAGGCCTATACATCTGCAAATATAAGGCGGGCCGTAATACTTTGTGAAAAAACTTTGCGGGCCAAATGAAAATAGGACAGGACATGCGCCGGCCAAAAGAATGTAGGTCGGGGGGTGGGGAGCTATTAAGAAAATAATAAAGATAAAGAGCTTTTCGTGACCACGCAGACCACAAAGTGGGTGCTGGTGGGTCACATGCGGCCCGCGGGCCTGATAATGTGCAGGCCTTCAATCTTATCAGGATCTATTTCTCCTTCACAATAAAACACGTAATACTCTATTCCAGAATGCTATGTAGAAGATGTGTTTACGTCACTTTCCCCGTCCCGTGAAATCTGTCTGACTCCAAATTAGGCTGCGTTCGTACTTGGCGAGGCCTATTCCCTTTGATCTTGTTTACCACTACCGACTAAAAATAATATTTTCTATTAGAATTATGTGGAAAGTTCGGGAGTGAACTGGAAAGATAAACAAGATAATTAGGCATTTGCAGAAGCGTTGGTTCTATCGACGCTTGGATATAAAAGGGGATTCAGGAGCTTAGAGGAGGATCATATTTTGACGTCACGAGACAAACGTGTGTTATTCTGTATTTACTTATATGTGTTAATTCATATTTATAATTGTACCTTAGTATTTGGGCACATTGTACTAACTGTGTACCGATACAAGACATACCATACTCTGTAAGTTGATGAATTTTTTAATTATAATTCTTTTATTTTGTAATCCATAGTCATTTAATTAATCTTATTAATGGTAATTAGAACTGTTTTGAGTGCCGTATTTTTACTATTGTGCCCCCCCCCCGCCTTTGCCCCACCCCCCTGCGGGCGCCCATGCCTGCTACCCAGTGGCACGACGATTCTAGGGCGTGTTGCTTTTGAAAAACAGTGCTACAGACTGTTGACTGGGTCAAGGTCATTCCCTTTCGCACTGAACTGAAAAAACGGGGTTACAAGC